GTAATATTGTATATATATTAATATTGTAATAATGTATATATATATATATATATATATATATATATATATATATATATATTTATATTAATATTATAATAATGTATATATATATATATTAATATTGTAATAATGTATATATTTATATTTATAATAATTATGTATATATTTTGTAATAATGTATATATATATATATTATTGTATTAATGTATATATTTATATTAATGTAATAATGTATATATATATATTATATTAATGTTGTATATATATATATATATATATATTATAATAATATTGTATATATATATATATATATATATATATATATATATATTAATATTGTAATAATATTTGTGTGTATATATATATATATATATATATTATATATATATAATAATGTTGTGTTATATATATATATATATATATATATATATATATATATTAATATTGTAATGTTGTTATATATATATATATATATATATATATATATATATATATTAATATTGTAATGCATATATATATATATATATATATATATATATATATATATATGTTGTAATGTTGTATATATATATATATATATATATTATATATTGTGTGTATGTGTATATATATATATATATTAATATTGTAATGTTATATATATATATATATATATATATATATTAATATTGTAATGTTGTATATATATATATATATATATATATATTGTATTAATGTTGTGTATATATATATATATATATATATTAATATTGTAATAATGTTGTATGTATATCAATATTGTAATGTATTGTAATAATGTTGTATTGTAATAATGCTGTATATATGCATTAATGTTGTAATGTGTTGTTCTATGACACGTGATCAGTAGTCAACTTCTTCCCTGTCTCTTAGTTTACTATACATTTCATATCTCTTCTACTTAACATATACAAATAGGTAAAATTCTATTTACCAATCTGTTACACCTCCCTGAACTGAAGAGTTTTAATGCTTTTGGTTGTTCTCAAACTTCTTCAACCTCTTTCCTCCTTTTTTTTGTACTTGCTTGATTTTAGTATCTTCAATTTGCAATTTGTTGGGCTCTTCTTTTTACTGAGTCATTGTTGTAACCTAGAAAATGTTACTGAATGAGGAATAACCAAAACGGAGGTTGGAAATGAAATGGTAATCTTTATAACATCAACAAAATACAATACTTGTCAGCGGTGTGGAGTAGGTAAACCACTGCTAGTGGTGAACTACTTAGGCAGTATATTAACCACCACTTACAATAGTGTCCAACGTATTTATGAGGATTGGTACATACCTATTAGTGTTCATAGGTACAGCATATAACAGTCATATATTTTGGCTTCTCACAATTGATATTTAGTATTTAGACGCTTTTAGCTAACACATATCCGCTAATAATCAGGTGGTGAAAATTTTAGACCTTTAAACCAAATGTCTTTTTTAGGTGTCATCAGGAAGTGGGCGATAGTGGCTCTCTACAACTTCCTATCCTTTGTAGCTCTTAGTAAGGCTTGTTTTCACCATCCCTTCCAGTTTGTTCCACTGTCCATTTCCACAAGCTTAAGTAGGTTGCTTGCTACTTTCCCTTGTCTGTCTCACATTCAAACTACCCTGCAAGTTACAAATTCTCTAAGCTCTCTTTCCTCATCTTTATGCCCTAGAAATATCATCTCTCTTTCTTTCTTCTACATATAAGTGTCCTTTTTGTTTTCATCTTCCTTAAAATTTTGCTCTTACATATTCAGTCCATGGTATTCTCAGTATCATTCAGTAGAACCATATTCCTGTTGCCCCAATTCTCTTCATCCATGGTTGGAATGTCAGCAAATTGTATTGAAAACACCCTGTCAAGCATCTATGCATTATTCAAAAGATAAAATGGAGCATAAAGCTAATATTATTTCTGTTCATCAGCCAAAATTCAAGGCACTGTCATTGAGGAATTTTTTCTCATTCTCATATCAACTGTTAGAATCTGTGACATTGTTTCTCCATTCATATTCCATTTTTCTGCTATCACTTACACACTTAATCTTTGATCTGAGAGTACCAAGGTTCTATACTATATCCCTATTTGCATCTGCTGTGTTTTCGGCTGCCCACTTCTTGTGTCAACATGTACAGAATCTTGCCCTTCCTTCAACTGCCTTTGCTACCCAAAAACACTTGATTTCTTCCAAACATATTCACCATTATTTATTTTTAATATGACTAATATTTTACTAGCACTTTTACTAATCTTCACCCAGAACTTGATGTTAATACACTGCTCAAGATTCCTTTTAAATACTTACTTTTAGCCAACTGTATAACATGAGCACATATAACTTCCTCTACTGTTTAACAACAAGTGACTCAACTGCACTGCATCTCAAGAAAGCAGATGTTTGAATATACCTGGATGTGTTTGGGTACAAATGACCATTGTTGGAATTAAATTGTCACACCAAATTTTTACTTAATGTGTAATATATCTAATTGCATTTGTCTATATTTCTGAGATGAGTTATTGTAACTATTTACATTGTTTGGATTGTTGTACACTCCAGCCTTCTTAGGTGATATACATTGGGTTTGGTTTGAAATTCCAATGTATATCACCTGAAGGATGGAGTGTACAACAGCTGAAACCTTGTGAATATGACAATAAAGAGGACAACAGTCTGAATAATGTAAATAGTGTAATTGCATTGTTTTATATCAACAACTTTTCAGTTAAAATGGCTGTATAGCTTCAGTGTCAGTAGATGGCATATTGCTACTGTATCTAGGCTGGAGCTGCCCAGTCTTCATTCTTCATACCTTGAGTCCGAATGTGTTTACACAGACTTATGGGTGACTAAATACTTTCAAACCTACTGACTCTTTCCTCACTGACATGGCAAATGTTTAGAGTAGCTACACTCCTTAGTTCCAGCCATTCCATACCTTCACAGCTAGGATCCATCATGCCGTCTCCACAGAATCAAATCATTCCTTTTGTATTCCACTTGTTAGGAGGAAGTTCTATTCCGACAGCCTCTGATATTTTGTGGAAAATGCTCCTGAAATGCTTTGCCAGTCTAACTATAATCTTAACCCCTTCAAGTCTCATGTCAACTATTATCACTTGTATATATCATCATAATCTGTACTTACTTCTTCCTCTTAAGTTCATACAACAACCTCATTCAATAAACCTCTACCTTGAGTGGCTCTTGGGCCTTGTATTGGGTAAATATTTTATAAAAAACTAAAATTCTCAAAGATTAACAAGACTGACCTATTATCAGCATTAATACTTATTTTTTTTTAGTCAGTATTACTCCAGACAAGGCATTAAAGCCACTAAAATACAACGAGTTAAGCGTGTGGAAGAATTAGGAACAGAAGCATTAATAATGAGCAGGAAGAGGAAAGAGTAATCAGAAGGACAGTAGAGAGTGATTGACATTGCATTTAAATCTTTGCAGATTTAAGTTGGGTGGAAAGCATGGAGCTGGAAGGGAGTTCCACAAGTGAAAAGTGCAAGAAAAGAAACTGTTAGCATAGAATTTATGGTTGCATCTAGCCAACTCAACTGTAAATTGATGAGATCAGGATGTCAGTTTAGTACTGTGCTTAAATTAAAAAAAAAAAAAAAATTCTATAGCAAAGAGTTCAGCAGAAAAATTGCCATTAAGTATTTATAGAAAAAGCACAGGGAGGCAACCTTACAATGGTGGAAAAGTGACTGAACCCAAGCTGACAGATCAGGATCAATAATATTGCTGATTCTTCTTTGGGTTTTATTAAGGAGCTTAAGGTAAAATACAGGGCCACCAGACTATATGTGGCAGCAATATTATAAGCATGTGTTGCTCTTATACAAGACTCCATTAATTTTATTCATTTAAAAAAACAAATTTTTCTCTTTTTAATCTACATAATTTATAATTGTACTTTTTAGTTGATGGATGAGAAATTGCTTTTTTTTTGTTGTTGTTGTTGTTTTTTTGTTTTTTTTTTAGAAAAGAAAAATTAAAGATTAGAAATTTGTAGTATCTAATTGAATTTATTCTAACCAGAAAAATTGCAGTAAATATAAAAAATCTTATTTTTTTTAATTTAAAATTCAAAGATTAATAATATCTACAAAAACTTCATACACTTTAATGTGATAAGAAAAAATGATAATTTGAGAAATGTGTTAATTTTACTGGAATTAATAAATTTAAAATTAATATTATTCATTTTTTAAAATTTATTTAGATTTAGGTCAGAGAAAAGCTTAATGTTTGCAGAATATTTTTTAAAACATTGTATAATTGAATGTAATTTTATACCGTTTTTGCAATTACTTCTTGTAAAGTAATTTACTGAGATCTGAACATCTCATTTTTACTTTCTATTATTCTGATGAGCTTCTCCCCTTTGTGTCTTGACTGAATGAATTTAGGTGTGTTACTAGATTGGCAACTAGGTCTCACCATTTTACTGTTGAATTAGATAGATACAACCAGGCTCTATTCTAATAGTTTCTTTTCTGGCACTTCTTGCATGTGGAACTCCCTTCTGATTTTTTGCTTCCCTGCCAATTACAATCTTCAAAAATTTAAATGCAACACTAACGTTCTTTTGTCGTCCTGAATCTTAATTTTTTATTTATTTATTGCCCTTTCTCATCACTAAAGTCTTCTCATTCTCTTTCACTTTCAGTAACTCCTTGTGTCCAAAACAGGGGTGTTAACCATACCTAGGCAAGCCATCATTAGCAATGGTTAACTTCTGTGCCTGAGTTGCCAGTACCTTGGGTCAGCCTAATTTTCAGTATATGTAATATAGGAGGTTTTAGCTATGAATGTCAGAATTGGTGAAACTAAGGAATGTAATTTGTTAGAATATTTATTATGGTAGTAGTGATAGAGTAACAAGAGGCTTGTAATGTTTCATTTTTTTTTTTTTTTAATCTTTTCCCAAATATTATTAGAAATATAGTTATCCTAATTTTTCTCTTCATCTTTTTACAGAAAAATACATTCCAAGCCGTTCTGATCACAAATTGGGTGCAGTCATTTGCAATTTTCAACTACAATAAATTGGAGTGGACCTCCAGTAAAACTGAAGACAATACTTCAACCTCACCTGAAAGTGAAGTTCAGGTATGTACAGCTCTTTGCAATGTTCTTTCTTCTTTCTCCTCTTCTTCTCCTCCTCCTCCTCCCAATATTTACTGTTTTTCATTTCTTTTTCATGAAACTAATTTTTTTTTCCTACTTAAAATTGAAGTTTGCAACAAGTACAACTGCTTAAGACATTTACATGTACTTATCCCAACAGATGATATACAAATGCCCCCCATTTCTAGTTTTGTTAAGATGTTTTAGATGGAGGAAATTGTTAGAAGAATGCTAAAAATTGGTTAAAGTATATTAAAAATTTATTTAGAATAGCTAAGTAAATTATCTACAAATAGTAATTGGTTGTCAGGATTCATAAAGATTTTATTAACCTTAAGTGGCATATATCCACGTACTAGGGGCAACCGCAAATATGAAGAATGTTACCATGAAAAATAATTGTTTACCCATAAAAAAATCATTTCATGAATGAAGATTTTAAGGAAGGATTTTTTACATAAGTTGCAGCCTCTCAAGTTGTTTGTAAAATCTCTACAGGAGAGGGGCATGCTTGGTGGCCAGTGGAAGCTATCTGGTCATTTTCTGTAGTTTGATTCAGTGAGGGTGTTTGCTTGGTAGAGCCTGTGCTTTTATGCTGACCTGTTGGCTGTCTCTCTTTCTCACTGTGATGGTGGTTGAATACAAAAAAGGATGAAGGTCCTTTTTCAGAGCGTTGTCACATCTTTTCAATGAGGGTCCCAGTCCTTTGTAGGTCAGAGACTCGTTCTCCAAATGGGGAGGGTGTCTTTCAAAGACAATAATCCTTTATCCTCAGTAGGTGGTTAACTTGCTGCAGTGGAGTCTTTTGCAGTATAGCATCATCATTTATGGCCCTAGTTTAAAATATTCTTTTTCTCCCCATGTCTCAAAGTGTACTCACACAGACTCTGACTAGTGGGGGAAAATCTTCACACTACATTCAGCTTGTGGGCATTGTTCAGATTTTCCAAATTTTTTTGATAGCTGTGTGTGTGTGTGTGTGTGTGTGTGTGTGTGTGTGTGTAGGGTGTGTTGCTGTACATAATATGAAAAAAAATATTTGTTGGCCAATATTTAAAGTTATCGAGTATGTCTCTAAGCCATCAAAAATTTCTTGACAGTTTTTTTTAATTTTTTCTTAAACAAGATTTGCAAGAATCTTTCGAAATTTTGGGAAATGGATAGATTTTTAGCAGAAAAGCTCAACAGTGTTTCACTCCCCTTGTGACTTTCATAAACTTCTTTCTGAATATATTGACATTAACAAATATTATGTTTTACCACCTCCCCTCCTAAAATCTGTAGACAAGGATATTTAGGTAAGAATTCATTTAAGGCAAGAAGTCTTTGTAATTATAGTACTCAATATAAAGAGATAGTGGATTAACAGTAACAAATAAAATTAGTAGATAAGTAAGCCCTTGCATCCTAGTGGCTTTAAAGCCTTTCTTGGGATGAAATGATTAAAAAGAAAAAAGTGAACATTTATTTTATTATTAAATATGACTTGGCATCAAGATTATATTGAAGTGTGAAACTGACAGTCAGCATGTCGATTAATGTGTCAACACTTTAAAAACTCTATGCTTACAGCCATATCATGTTGAAACGCCAATTCTTGTACAATCAAAGTTAAACAATGCTGAGCTTGGTCAGTACCCAGATGGTTGACCCCTTTGGGAATGCCAAATACTGTAAGCTTGGATGTGCAGTTGGTGTAATGGATAATGGCTTGGAAATGGAAATTGTAGAGTTGAGTTCCAATTCCAGTCAAGTTTGTTATATTCACTTATGCTCAAATACCCTTGGGAAAGGTATGAATTAACCCCTTTTCTTTTTTATGGATTAATTAGTAGGAATTGTATTGCTAAATCATTATCGCCAAAAAAATTTTTACAATCTAAAAATGTTTTCTGTCTTTAAATAATCTGCAAAGGGCTGATAAACTGTAAAAAAAAAAAAAAAAAAAAACAATCTCACTTTTCCCTTTATGAATATAGCAAATTTTAAACTTATACAGGATGGGTGGAAATTGTCATTTAAAATTGTCGATAACTTTATTAATTACTGGTTGATTTTCATAAAACAGGTTTTATTTTGAACAGAAACATGTTAGAAATACAGTACAGTGTTAAAATTCTACCTTTTGCTCATTTTCTTCCAATCTGGATGTTGAAGGACGACTCATCAGCTTGGAATGACAATTTCTGATGGTTTTGGCATCTATTGAAGCATGAGGTCCATAAACACTACACCACCATCTCTAAACTTGTACCATGTCCTGACTCACTTAGTAACAGGATGTTAGCTGAGTATACTGGCACTGTGTCAGGCATTGTGCCATTCTGGGCTACATTTGTCACTCTGAAATAAAAACAGAAATTAGCAACAAAATTCTATCTCTTTATAGATCACAATATATTTTATTTCATGCAAATGTGGTATTAACAAAAGTTATAAGTAATTTCCAATATGGAGTTTCTTTCCACCTAACCAGTATATAATGGCAATTCTTTTGTAGTTTCCCTGTAGATGATTTATAATATTTTTAAAAGAAAAAATGCAAATTAAAATCATTAAGAATATTAAACAATATTTAGAATTTTTCTAATTAATCTTTTTATATCTTTTTTTTAATAAACATCATTTGCAGTGAAATTAACTATTTTTGCTTTTTTTTTTATATGTGCTTTCTTTAACCTTGAAAAAGATTTGATGTAACCAAGATTTTTGCTTTTTTATTTTTTTTTTTTATTAAAAGCATGTATATAGAAATATTTTTAAAGAAAAATGAAAACATTATCTTACAATAAATTAAACAAAGTTTATCTTCGTATTCAGACATCTCTTAAAATTGGAAATCACCATAATAATTCATTTCTAGTATGAACACACTTAGATGAAGAAATAAATTTTTAGGGATTTTCATACATTTTGGCACATCCCTTTTTTCTTTTTTTTTTTTACAAAAGCTTAGCTTTGTACCATAAAGCTAAATTTTTATTGCTATCAATAGACCAAATATTCTTTCTCTAAAATTCAATGTCTGTATGTTACGTGTGTGTGCATGTATGTATGTGTGATATTAGTTAATTTTAATAGTATGCGTGATATTAGTTAATTTTAATGGCTAACTTAAATTTCTGTCTGAATTTCTGGTTTGAAATGTTATCATTATTTACACTATTTACATTCAGACTATTCTCCCCATCTTTGTTGTTGTTATCACAATATATCGGCTGTTGGAGACTTCCAATTTTCATCAGGTGCATATTTGGTTAACCTACAAGGAATTCAGAATTGAACCCTTTATTTAATCTACAGGGGTAGACTGTTCTCATTCCACTTCCCATGTCTAGGGATATCTTGTCTAGTTCTTATTTTTAGTACTGCTTAATTATTGTCCATCTGTTTACACTGAGTCCAAGTACACACTACTTGGCCCAGGAATTGAACACACAATTACTATGTCATTACATTCACTAGATTATGGTATAGGAAAAATTCAGTTGTTCTTGAACATTTATTTAAATAAAATGAATTCAAATATTAATCTCTTATCAAAGTTCCAGACATTTTTTTAATAATGTTACATTTTTTTTTTATGACAAAAAATTTAATAATATAACAATGAACACAAGTTGTTTCAATGTTTACACCGTTTACTAAATGGTATCAGCCAGTAATTGCTATTTATAAAACCTGTCTCAATAATCACAATCTGTGTGTGTGTGTGTGTGTGTGTGTGTGTGTGTATGTATATGTGTTTTATCTAGCTAGCTAGGTGTCTGCACATATACCTAAAAAAAAAAATAGGGTGCTGTAAGTTCTCAGCCTGACCAGGAAGGAAATGCTCACAAAATTCTGATGTTTGGTCAAATTTTGTGAAGTGGCTAAGTCAAGAACTTTCAGTACCCAACCCCTTTGTCTCTCTTGAGATAGATATATATATATAAATTAAGGTAGAATACATCTGTAAAAAAACAGTATGAAAAACTTACCTTAGCCAACACGTTTCATCCTCCAAAGGGGTTTATCAAGGCATTTGCCTTGATAAAGTCAGCCTTGAAATGCACTAAGATAAGTTTTCCTTTTGTCTTTGTTCACACACACACACACACATACATATATATATATATATATATATATATATATATATATATGAAGAAATATAGTTTTAAGGGGTGCTATATTTGAGATAAAGTGCTCAATATCAGATAGAGCATATATAAATATAAAAGTGAACATTGAAGTCAACACTCAGAGGTGACAGGCTGTTTGATGCTAGATGCAATCGTCAGGCCACAAATTGCATCTAGCATGAAACAGCCTGTTGCCTCTGAGTGTTGACGTCAATGTTCACTTTTATATTGATATATATATATATATATATATATATATATATATATATATATATATATATATATATATATTTCTCCTCTTATGTTAATACACCCTCATTCATTAACACTACACTGAGTGGCTCTTATACCTTGTATTGGATGAACAATTAGTAATTAGGAAAATCAATGACAAAGTGGAAAAAGGATTTTGTATGACATGTTTTGTCCTTTAGTGATATTTATGTTGATGTGATTATGCATGCACATTAAGGAGAAAGGATGCTAAAATTAATTTTTTTTTTTATTTGTGTTCAGTATACATCAAGGTAAACATAGCTTTAATCTAATGAAGCCCTAAAGAACAAAACCTGTCACACAAATCTTTTTCCCACTTTGTTATTTGATTTTCCTAACATTGTTCTGGCATATAAAATTTTATCTCTTTTCCCCCACATACCATGTATACTTGTGTAATATGCATTAAATACAGCTATACATTTTGACTACAGTAAATGGATATGTAGTTTGGTCAACAGCATAGCCAGGGCCAGTAGTACATATGCTAATTTTATATCTCATGTATGATATTACGCAAATATATATGCTGTGTGTGTGTATATGACTATATATATCATTATATATATATATTATATATATATA